AGGTTACTGTCTCCTTATCTCTTGCTGCTTCTAGAACTCTCCTTCATTTTCACCTTGGCTAATGTAATTATGATACACCTTGGTGTGTTCCTTCTTGGGTCCAACTTCTTTGGGACTCTCTGAGCTTCCTGGACTTCCTGGAAGTCCATTTCCTTTGCCAGATTAGGGAAGTTCTCCTTTATTATTTGTTCAAATAAGTTTTCCACTTGTTGCTCTTTCTCTTCTCCTTCTGGTACCCCTATAATTCGGATGTTGGAACGTTTAAAGATGTCCTGGAGGTTCCTAAGCTTCTCCTCATTTTTTTGAATTTTTATTTCTCCATTCTTTTCTGTTTGATTGTTTCTTTCTTCCTTTTGGTCCACTCTATTGTTTTGATTCCCAGTTTCCTTCCCATCACTATTGGTTCCCTGTGCATTTTCCTTCATTTCTCTTATTGTAGCCTGCATTTGTTCATCTAATTTGTGACCAAAATCAACCAATTCTGTGAGCTTCCTGATCACCAGTGTTTTGAACTGTGCATCTGATAGGTTGGCTATCTCTGGGTCACTTAAAAGGATGGGTTCTGGGGCTTCAATTTATTCTTTTGTTTGAGTCATCTCTCTCTCTCTTTTTTCTTTGGTCTGGTTGCACCTGTTACAGTAAGGGGTAGAGCCTTAGGTGTTTACCAGGGTGGGGCACCCCATTTGCTGGGCTGTGATGTTGTATGTGGGGGCGGGGTCGAGAGGGAACAAGGGCGCCTGCTCTGTTCTCCATGGCACCTCAGTCCTTTCTGCTGCTTCCCCCAAGCAAACTGGGCCCCTCTGGTGCCAATTCTTGTGTGGGTGGGCTTGTGCATGCTGTGGGACCCTCCAAGGACCTCTCCTGTGAGGCTGGGTGTCTCTCAGGGCACCTCAACTCCCACAGGTGTCCTCAATCAGTGTTCCGAGGCTTTATTTCCCAGCACTGGGATCTGGGTTGCGCCCACTGCCTTGCTTTACAATGGCTGCCTCACTGGGTCTGCCAGTTGCCACCCCTCAGCTGGGGTCTGCCAGCTGCCACTTGAGCACGCAGGGTCCACCCACTGCGGTCTTGTGCACCCCAGATGCCTTACATGCCCCCGATGTCTTACGTGCCAGGTCCCAACTCTCTCTGCTCTCCGTGCTGCAAACCACGCCTGGCTGCCCAACTCCACCCCTCCTACTGGTCTGGATGAATGGGTCTATGTCCAACTTCCATTCAGATCAATTTTCTGTCAGTTCTGGATGTTACTGTTTCTAAATTGTTGTTGTCCCTATCTTGGTTGTGCATGGAGGCACGGTGCGTCCACCTATGCCTCCATTTTGGCCGGAAGTCGGTCTAATAATTTATAGTTTTAATTTGAGCATTTCATCTAAAAGATCATATGGTGTGCTTGAGTGTGATAGTGTTAAATTACAGAATTACATGCTATGATTTTGTAATAAAATATTTTGTAATTAAAAAAAGAGGCATTATTTGTGTTGGGCCCTGTAGTTTGAAATTGGGAAGTATGAAGCCTCTAGTTTCATTCTTCTGTCTCAAGACTACTTTGGCTATTTTAAGATATTTTGTGGTTCCATACAAATTTTAGGATTATTTTTTCTATTTTTGTGAGAAATGCCATTGTACTTTTGATACAGATTTCACTGAGTTTACAGATAGCTTGGGGTGGACATGTCATATGGACATTTTAGCAATATTAATTCTTCCAGTCCACAAGCAAAGAATATCCATTTATTTGTGCTCTTCAATTCCTCTCATCAGTGTTTTATAATTTTCAGTGTACAGATTTTTTACTTCCTTGGGTACATTTATTCCAATGTATTTTATTCTTTTTGATGCAATTGTAAATGGGACTGTTTTCTTAATTTCTCTTTCTGACGGTTCATCTTCAGTGTATAGAAGTGCAACTGATTTTTACATATTGATTTTGTGTCCTGCAAATTTGCTGAATTAATTTATTAGCTCCAACCATTTTGGGGTGCAGTCTTTAGGGTTTTCTATATACAATATCATACCTCTGCATAAAGACAGTTTTACTTCATTTCCGATTTGGATGCCTTTTACTTCCTTTACTTGCCTGATTTCTCTGGCTAGAACTTCTAGTACTATGTCAATTAAAAGTGGCAAAATTGAAGAAAAAAATTAAAAAAAACTAACTAACTAAATAAAAGTGGCAAGATTGGTTCTTTGTACATGGGGGACATTGCCTCACTGCAGAAAACACCCTGATAAATAGCCCAAGTAAACGACAGTTGGGTCCTTGAGGGAAAAAAAGAGTGGTGAGTTTGGGCATTCTTGTCTTATTCATGATCTGAAAGGAAAAGCTTTCAGCTTTTTGCCATTGAGTATGATGTTAGCTGTGCACTTGTCATAAATGGCCTTTATTATGTTAGAGCGTATTCCCTCTATACCCATTTTGTTGAGTGTTTTTATCATGAATGATTTATTTTTTGTCAACATCTATTGAGATGATCATGTGATTTTTACCCTTCATTTTACTAATGTGGTCTATCACACTGATTGTGGATGTTGAAGCATCCTTCTATCTCTGGAATAAATCCCACTTGATCACAGGGTGTGATCCTTTCAGTGTATTGGTAAATTCAGTTCATTTCAGTGTGTTGAGGATTTTTACATGTGTGTTCATCAGGGACACTGGCCTGTAATTTTTTTCTTCTTGTAGTGCCCTTATCTGGTTTTGGTATCAGGGTAACACTGGCTTTAGAAAATGGTTTTGGAAGTGTTCCCTCCTCTTCCATATTTTGGTAGAGTTTGAGAAGAACTGGCATTAATTCTACTTTAAATGTTTGCTAGAACCCACCAGTAAAAGCCATGTAGTCCTGTACTTTTCTTCATTGGGAGATTTTTAATTACTGATTCAATGTCCTTCTAGTAATTGGTCTGTTCAGATTATCTATTTCTTCATGATTCAGTCTTGGTAAGTTGTGTGTTCCTAGAAATTTATCCATTTCTTCTAGGTTGTCCAATTTGTTGGTATATAATTGTTCACCATATTCTGTTATAATCCTTTGTATTTCTGTGGTATCAGTAGCATTGTCTCCTCTTTCATTCCTATTTGAGTCCTGTCTTTTTTTTTTCTTAGTATGCCCAGCTAAAGGTTTGTGTATTTTGTTTGCCATTTAAAAAAAAACCAGTTTATAGTTTCATTGACAGTTTTTCTTGTTATTTTAGTTTCTATTTCATTTATTTCTGTGCTCTTGATTTCCTTTCTTCTACTATGTGCTTAGCTTGTTCTTTTTTATTTTTAGTTCTTTGTGGTATAAAATTAGGCTATTTGAGCTCTTTTTTCTTAATGTAGGAGTATATCACCATGAACTTCCCTCTTAGAAACACTTTTGCTGCATTGGAGTAGGGGTATTTTTTATCTTTTTAAAAATTTTCTATATATACACCAAATTTTCTAAGAACATATTACTTATAGAATCGGAAAAAAGCCTGCAATTTATTAAAAGGATAAAAATGCTAAATAAAATGAGAATGGGTGCTAGAAGACACCACTTTGGGAAAGTATTTGGGTTATTCTAGGCTGTTATAGAGGACTGAAAAAGTTGAAAATGTTTTAAATCAAGAATGATTTAAGGATATCAGCACACAATTTACATAGATGAAACAAACAGGAAAAGAATAAAGAATATATACTCTGCTATAAGGGATGACTCAATCAAAGACTATCCTCCATTCAAATTTTGAGTTCTATTTGTACCTGTGTTCTTACTATAGAAGAACCAAGGGCTGGTGTTTCCCAGCAGTTACCCAGTTCTTTCACCAAATCATTTCATAGATTGTTCTGAATGGAGAAAGATGAGAAACACAGAGGAGAGAGAATTAAAAGCAGCTTGACAGAGACAGAAAACAAATGGCCTGAATCCATTTACCTTTCTAACAAGTCAGTGGTGAATAAATATACTTGTGATCTAAAGCATGGTTTTTGAAATTACAAAAGTGATCCATTATTAGACAGTTGTAAGCACCAGCACATATTAAATAAAACATACAAAAAAGAGAACAGAATAGAGCCCAGCATACATTCCAGGTAGTCAGGGTAAAAATTGTTGCAACTTTTGTTTCAGTTTCATTTGTACATTTGTACCTGTGAGAAATGGCTCAGAAATGTACATTTTATTTCTTAATAGTAAGAAATTACTTACTATTGTAAGTAATAGTAAATAGGTTGTGGTAAAAAAAGGAAAAAAAGTGTAAATGCTAGCTGAGATAACTTCAGCTCTAAGTTCGATCATTCTAATTTTGCTTCTTCTGTAACAAATTTAATGAATATGGAGAGGGAGGGAAGAAGAGAGGAGGGAGGGGAGAAAGAAAAGGGAAAAAGAAAGACACAAAAAACATTCCCTAAGGAGAGTGCTATAGGGAAGTGGAAGAAACTTTTAATGCCCCCCTGAAAACTCAGATAAGAGAAACAATGAAGGAAGAGACTGGAAGCCAGTCAGTAGAAATGAGATGGAGAGAAACAGATCTGGTAACTTGAAGTAACTGTGATAGAGGTCAACATCATTCCATGAGGGAACCTACAATCTAAAACCAGTAGAAGTGTATAAACACCCACATATGTATACACACATACACATTTTTTCGAACATGAATCTATGGAACACAAGGGTACTGTTATGAAATGAATGTTTATGTACCAAAATTCATATGCTGAAATCTGAATTCCCAATATGACGATATTAGGAGTGATGCTACTGGAAAGTGATTAGGTCATGAGGGTACAGTCCTATGAAATGAGATTAATGCCTTTATAAGAAGAGACATCAGGGAGCTCTCTCATTCCTTCCCGGTCTATGAACCAAGAAGTCCTTACCAGACAAAGAATCTCTTAGTCCCATGATTTTGGACTTCCCAGCCTCCAGAACAGAAAAATTTCTGTTGTTTGTAAGACACCAAGTCTGTTTTTGTTATAAAGCCTGAACAGATGAAGACTGGTGTTGATAAAGGTACATTCTGAATAAATATATGCTTACCTTTTAGAAGAACTTTATTGATCCACAAATCTAACTGACTCTTGAATATGCATGCTCTTATCGTGGGTCAAAGGTGACTTCAAGGATCAGTACAACAAAGTTCTCCAAATACGAGTCTTGGTGGCAAACAGGACGTAAAGAAGAATCAAGAAATAAAGATCAGCAGAATACTCCTTCAATTAAGCTGCTGGAAAAATCAGCAAATGCCTAGAAAGATAAACAAATAAAATAGTTTCAAATATTCCTATTCCAGAAGAAACCCTAAAACAAAGCAAAAATGGAAAAGACAGGCTGAAAATATTTTTCATATTATTTTAAGTTCTTAGAGGACAAATGTTAGTCTACTCATTAATCACTCTTTCCATTATCTATTTTAACTCCAGGAAGAAAGGGAGTCATTTATTAATATGTGAAATAAAAGGCATTATATTACCAAAAAAATTCAAAATACCTCAGTATCAAACAAATCGTACAACTTCTTTTCATTGCAATAAAATAAAGTGTTCATATAACAAACACTATTCTAGTATATAATAAAATATTAAGTATTAAAATCACATAAAATACAAATTTGACATCTGAACAGAAATGTGAAAAAAATTCCACTGAAAGCTTATTCCAAACCATTAGTAAGATATAAAATTAAAATATACAAACATATCAGTGTGGCAATATTTGTGAATTAAAAATTAATTTCCATATACTTTTTGTATAAATATCACCTTTAATAATATACTTTTACAAATCATATTTGACACAGATATATCTTTATATAAACTCTGCAAGAATCACAACTGAATTTCTTAAAATAGCTATCAATTTAAGTATAAAACTTTTTTTTAAAATTGTTGTTCAAGTACAGTTTTCTGCCTTTCACTCCCATCCCAGCCCACCCCCCAACCCTCCCCAGCTCCCTCCTGTCTCCACCCCCGCCTTGTTATTGTCCATGTGTCATTTATACTAGTTCCTCCAAACCCTTTCCCCCTTCCACTGAAATTCCCTCCCCTCTCGTCTCCGGTCACTGTCAGCCTGTTCTCAATTTCAGTGTCTTTGGTTACATTTTGCTTGTTTGTTTGTTTTCTATTTAAGTACAAAACTTCTTAATATTAATAAATTGCTAAACATATAATTATCGCTCTCCTCTAGATTTCATTCTACATGAGTTTACTTTACTCCCAATAACCTGTTAGAGCTTATCAGTAGCTCAGCATAAATACAAAAGGTCAATAGTAATTAGGCAATATAATGTGAAACATAAATTGGTAACAGAAATGAAAAATATTAGAAGTAACTGAAATCTACTGAGATTAAAAAACATTAATTACTTAAAATACATTTTAGCATCATATACTACTCAAGAGGAAAGTAGGATTCCTGAACAATAGAAATAAATGTAGGATTAATCTCTAGACAGATTTCTAAAAAATGTTTTATGCTCTGTATTACATATAATTCATGTTTCATTTGTTTAAAAGAATGATTTATGACATTCTAATGTAGCATTTCCTTATTTTAACTTTTAATTTTATCTGAAAAAGTTATAAACAACAAATTTCTAAATTGTATAATATGCATATGGAATATACCTAAATATTGTCAGCAGCTTCTAGGTCAGTATAGTCACTTAGTTTTCCTAGATGGTTGAAATAAAGTTGCTCAACCACTAAAATAAATCATGTCTCCATTTCTCATCTTTCCCTTATAAAAATACAGACCATTTTCATTCACTTTGAAAGTGAAAGACATTCAAATATCTTTGAAATATTCCAACACGTATGTATTTGATGAATACGTATTTATGTTAACACACTATATATCGCCATACTAATGTGTCAATACTATTCACAGAACAATGGCTATTTCTTCAGAGGCTGTGACAGTAACAAAAAATAATTGACCCTACAATCAGTGTCCTGAGTGGCTGTAATCTGTTCTGTTTCTAAACACACACTTTATACCAAGGTCAATTTACAATTTACAGTACACTGCTAGGATTGTAATTTATTTTCTTGTTCTGACAGGATAAGCCCACAAAAAGATCTCACTGACATACCATCAGACAGAGCAAGAAGGGAAGAAAAAGGCTACAGGCAAGATGAGGAGACAGCAATACTATCTGCACAGTGAGACTGTACGAAACAACCAGACTTCCTCAGCAATCCATATGCGAAAGGAATGTTTACCACAGTCTCACTGAAAGGATATACCAGTTCTTTTTTCTAGTTATTCTCTGTGGAATTGCATAAATACTGAGAAATCTAGAAATAGACATACACATGCACATATAAAAATTATTGTCAGTGTATAAGTTACTGCTGCCCTGGGACTGCAATAATTTATGTAACATCTGTTTTCATATTTTTCTAATTTTTCTCTTAATTAACATGCATATTTAACACATAAATGTTCAGACCACTTCTTTTTTCTGCTGACTGTGCCTCTTTACTTTTGAAGTTGTATGCTCCTAGGGAGAATTCAGGATAGATGGAAACCAAATCTTACTGAAAGCACTAATTCTTAAGTATAAACAAGGAACTAAACCAATTTTCAAGAAAATACTAAATATTTCATAAGGCTTTCATAAGGATATTTGAATCTGCCAACAAATCAAGCAGTAAATTAAGGTCTAAATACCAAAAATACCCATAAAATCATAATTCCAATATTATATTAATCTTCTTAATTCCTCTAACTTTTATAAGCTGAGAAACCTATTAAAACATCTATAATTTCTTATCTTTGTAAGTTTTGGTAGTGCTTTAAAATTTTTATGTCTCAAGCAACTAACATATTCCACATAGTAAACATCGAGAAGTATGTAACCAGAAATTTTTTTTAATTGTAAACTTCAAATGTTATACAAATGTGAGGAAGGGGAAAGTTTTTATTCTAAAGCTCATTTAAGTACAATCAACTTCTGGAAGCTCTTAATTTGAACTAGGGAATTCAAAACTCAAAATATTACTATCATTTAGTGAACAGAAAAAGTAAAATTAGAGGCTGATCAAGCCTATGCTACAGTAACTAAAGTATTCCCAAGTAACAATGCTTAAAATGCCAACACTGTGACTCCATCTGTACTTTACCTCACTTTAGAATTAATCACTCTGTATTTCATTGCCTAGTTATGTACTTCAGTATTCAATGTTATGTACTTTAATATTTCTCTTCTGTTGTCAGGGCTGTTTGAAGACACTGAAATTGTCTCCGCCTAGAACTTACATTTTATTTCAGAAAACAGATAGTAGAGCCCAATAACCATGCAAATACATAACTGCAAAGAGAGGTAAATGCTAATAAAAATATAGCGCAAAGGTCTAAAAGCAGTTATATGATAAGCCCATTCCAATTCAAAAAAAGAGAAGAAGAGAGGCCAGTCACTGCTAGAGAGGAAACACATATGAAATAAAATGGGGAAGAAAAGGTCAACATAAGGCAAAATTACTAGAGAATGTTAAATAAGGTTTGGCAATAAATTTTACACTAAAGAACTATCAAATTAGGTTGAATTATAGACAGGAACAAGAGAGATGCAGGGAGGAGTTAGAAGTGCAATGACTATAACTTAGATGAAGGTGATAGTGATGAATGAAGGTGAACAGAAAGGAGAAAGAGATTTATAATGTAGCAATCAGTGGAATTTGGTAAAAAATCAGATTTTGTGGAGGATGCAGATGGATGGGAATTTCATTCACTGATGCACAAGCCCTCAAAGAACATCAGTGTTTGGAAACTAAGGCCAGCTTAGATTTGAACTTCTTAAGTGGTAACCTGTTGAAGATGTCCTGTAGGCATTTCAATGTCAGCATCTGGAGTTATAAGAAGAATCTGGAGCTTTAAAAATGCTCTGCAATATTCTCACTGATATATCCACTAGGGCAAGGGGTATAAAGGAAAGAATAAACAAATGGGACTACATCAAATTAAAGAGCTTCTGCACGGCTAAAGAAACCATCATCAAAATGAAAAGGGAACCAACCATATGGGAGAACATATTTGCCAATGATACCTTGGACAAGAGTCTGATCTCCAAAATATATGAAGAACTCATATGACTCCACAGCAGGAAGACAAAAAATCCAATTAAAAACTAGGCAAAAGACCTCAACAGACACTTCTCCAAGGAGGACATGCAGATGGCCCAGAGATACATGAGAAAATGCTCAACATTACTAGCCATCAGAGAGATGCAAACTAAAACCACAATGAGATACCACTTCACACAGGTCAGAATGGCCATCACTAACAAATCAACAAATAAGTGCTGGCAAGGTTGTGGAGGAAAGGGAACCCTAGTACACAGTTGGAGGGAATGCAGACTGGTGCAGCCACTGTGGAAAACAGTATGGAATTTCCTCAAAAAACTAAAAATGGAACTGCCTTTTGACCTGGCAATTCCACTTCTGGGATTATACCCTAAGAATCCTGAATCACCAATTTAATAGGACCTTTGCATCCCTATGTTCATAGCAGTGTTATTCACAATAGCTAAGTGTTGGAAACAGCCTAAGTACCCATCAGTAAATGAATGGATCAAAAACCTGTGGGACATTTACACAGGCTTACATGGGATACTACACAGCCGAAACAAAGAATTAACTCCTAACCTTTGTGGCAGCATGGATAAAACTGGAGGGTATAAACTAAGTGAAATAAGCCAGGCAGTGAAAGATAAATACCATATAATCTCACCTATATCAGTGGAAACTAATCAACAAAATAAACAAGTGAGCAAAACCAGAGACATGGAAATAAAGAACAGACTGAAAGTGAATAGAAGGGAGAGAAGAGGGGGAAAATGTGGGAAAGAAGGGGAAAGGTTAAGTCAAGGAATATGTACAAAGGACCCATGGACAAGGACAATGGGGTGGGGATTGTCTTTGTGAGCAGGGGTTAGATGGGGCAGGGCAGAGCAATGGGGTGGGGGGATGGGGACAACTGTAACTGAACAACAATTAAGAAAAAAAAGAATGCTCTGGGCTAGAATCACATTCAGAATTTACCAGGAAATGAGCTGTAAAAATAGGGAACTCCCAACACACTCTCTGTATCTTTCTTGTTTCTAGCTATCATACCACATCAGAACAGGTAAATATATATTTCATAATCTGACAAACTCATTTAGCCTATAATTGGTTAACTCCATAAGGCATTATTTGCCTCATCTTAAGTTGCTAAATAAGAACCATCATTTATTGGAATGCCCA